CTTCATCAGGTGACAGCTGCCTTGGCTGTGGCTGAGCAGGAGCTACACTTTGAACACAGGTACAGTACACACACACACACACACACACACACACACACACACACACACACACCTCAAACACACACACACACACACACCTCACACACACACACGCCTCACACACTGCTCACACACACACACTGGTCACACACTGCTCACACACAGCTCACACACACGCCTCACACACGCCTCACACATACCTCACACACTTCTCACACACACACGCCTCACACACTGCTCACACACTGCTCACACACTGCTCACACACTGCTCACACACTGCTCACACACTGCTCACACAATACACACACACACACACACACACACACACATACACAAATCATAGCATCTGTGATAGTCTGCATCAATCAAGCCGAGCAGGACAAGACACTGTGGATATAAAGTATTTAAAATATCGATCACAGAAAGAAAAAAAAAGCATATTGTCAATGTACTTAACAAAAACAACATATTTTTTTAATTTGAGGAGCTTAGAGGTTAACTGAATATTTTCGACTGATGATTAATAAATGTACTGCTGTAGTTGCCATAAAGACACTGCGCATGATGGACTTAAACAAAACTGATAAGACTCCAATGAGCAGCACAATGAATTCCTGAAAACGTGTGTTTACTTGTACATAGTAGGTTCTTAATCTGCTTAACTTCACATCAGATGGGAAATGTGGCACACATTGTGTTTTTAAGCCGCCGCAGTGACGCAGTTGGGTGTGTATGTGGTTGTCAGTGTGATCGATGGTGTGTTGGTGTCCTGTTACAGCAACTTTACCCCCCTGTGCTCCTCACTGCAGGGACCTCCACTGGGGCAACGTGCTGGTCCAAACAACCAAGGAGAAGAGAGGGAGCTTCCTGCTGAACGGAGCAGCCCACTCTCTGGAAACCAAAGGGGTGTTGGTCCGCATCATTGACTACTCTCTCTCCAGACTAGAAATCGGTCAGTATTTTATTCCCTCCTTCTTGCACAAAATGTTTATCTAAAAACACGTAGAGTAATAAGAGGCATATGTTTTGTTCCCTCCAGATGGTCTGACGGTCTCCTGCGATATCTCAAATGATGAGGAACTCTTCATGGGCCAGGGAGATTACCAGTTTGAGATCTACAGACTAATGAGACAGGAGAATGGGTCAGTGTTTGAATGTGTCCTTGCGAAACTCAGAAACACCAGTGTGACATGTCACTGGAGTTTCTATGTGCTGTAAAGAGTCATCTTATACTGTACATACGCATACATGTATTAAGAAAGGATAAGGATAACAGAGCAAGCATTGGATTTCTTATTGATTTGACTTTGTCGTCCAAAAATAGAACTCGTGGATTAGTTCAGAAGTTTGACCACAGAGAACTTAACTGTTAAAGACTCTTAATGAGGTGGATTTCAACAAACATCGATCATTTGTATGAGAGGATATGACTTCTCTATGAGCCCTCCAGTCCTATTTATTTGGTTGTTCATTGTGATTTGTCTTTTAGGAATGGTTTGACATTTGACAAAAATGCTTACTGTCTTTGCATGGATAACAAGAACTACCTCTTTCGTATTTATTTGTTTACTTGAAGCTGATTTAATAGAGACTGGAAACAGCTGGTCTGTTTAAACACATATCCATCTACCAGACTCATGTTCTGAATTTGTAATTGTGATTTCATCCATCTTGTGGACGATTGGGTTTATTTGAGTGTTTAACACCTCAGAGTTGTTGTCACTGATTTGTTTGTACTCTATTTGTCTCAGAAACAACTGGAGTAACTACCACCCCCACTCCAACGTGCTGTGGCTGCACTACCTGTGCTCTAAGCTGCTCTCCATGAAGTACCGGAGCGTTGGAGGGAGGGGGATCAAGGAAATGCGAAAGCAGCTCACTTGTTTCTATGACAACGTCCTCCAGTACAGCTCTGCGATGGAGGTGCTGCAAAAGTGCCCCATGTTACAGTAGTACGTGAGCACTGAACACAGGACTTTTTTTTTTTTGTATGAGAGGTATGAGTTCCATAAATACATTTGTGTAGTTTCTTTGTTAAATGGAAAGTTAAGATGGTTGTTTCTCTTGTTCCACAACCTAATGTAAAGTGTTTCAGAATTTTACTAAGGTTATTAAAGTAACCGTTTGTATTCTTGTGTCTTAAATTTAATTTGAATATGTAATAATGCCTGTTCTTCCACTGATGTATTTTTCTTTTAATAGCTAATGGTTCATTTTGTTACTGTATTTGTCCTGAATACATTAATAATATATGCAGATCAAAATATTGTTAATCAATAAATTGTATCTGATTGTTAAAACAATCTAAAAGTTGTATGTGATCACAATTTGTGCAATTAAAAATAATGATGTTATTTGGTAATTTATCAAATCGTTTTATTATTAATAACTAACCATTAATCCACCAGGAAAACGGAATGCCCTCTTGTCCAGGGAAACACACACAGATTTAGACACTATTGTGAACATTATTTGAGAGAAATAGGCCTTTTGTTTACATAGAAAGTCAGCTCATGAAAAATGGGGGCAAAACAAAAATGTTGTGTTAATATATTACTTCAGTGTATTAATTTTTTCAAAATATGAAGGGCGAAAATTCATTAAATACACGGTGTTGTTAATTTGCACAAAAAAAACGAGGCCTTTTAGTTGCTTGGGGTCAGTGAAGTTTATCTTCGGTTAGTTAGGAGTTATGACAAATACATTTAAAAAATAGAATTTATGCTGTGGTGCATTCGGCCATCGTGGACAATGTTGCAAGTCAATGCACATGACTGCTTTAAAGAAATTAGAGCATGAACAATTTGTCTGTGATAGGAGCTCATTCCTATTGTATAAAGTATATTTTATATAAAGCAATACGACTGTAGGTAAATATGTTAAATCTTGAATTTTTCCACTCTCAAATATCCATTAGTTAGAAGGATTATATTAGTTATTGTCAGTATGCAGTTGAAATTGTATTGATAAAAAAACAAACCGACATTCCCAACTGGTTATTTCATAAGTTTAATAAGAAAATTCCCTACGCCATATAAAATTAAACACATAGATGTTTTTATACTGGTAGTACTGGTCATTTCATACCTATGATTAAAATGTGCATGTAAACCTGGTCTTTCCTTTGCAAAACAAAATATTTTATTCAATTTGTTCAGTAAGATTATCATACATTTTTGCATTGACACAAGCTTCATTTTGGTATGGTGAGTCGTGTGTGTCCGTTTGACGAGGATCTTGATTGAATACGTCGAATGCTTCCATACTCAGAGACACTTGGTTGTTGATTTCAAGAAAATGTATGTTTGCCTGGAATAATCATGTGATGAGATAAGAGCAAAGGTTGCATTTAAAAAAAGGAAGACTGCTTTAAAAAAAGGATATGGAGACATTTCAAACTATACAAACAAGATCCAACAGGCCTGTGTTCAGAGAAGAGGTCAGGCATGTGTTTGAGAAGCACTTTTTGGTTGAGCTTTGAGGCAATGTTTGAGATGGCCTTGCTGGTGATGAGCCCATATATATGTGTGTGTTTGTGTGTGTGTAGTATGTGGGAAGCAACGGATGTGTATAAGAAGCAATGAACTGTATACGAGAAAATGTACTTGCAGCTGCTGTGTGTGTGTGTCAATGTGTGTAATTGTGCTCAGAAGGAGAAGTATTTGGTGAACCACTCCTGTTTCAGCCCCTCTGTCCCCCTCTGCTCCAGGTAAGGGCCTCTACAAAACACAGAAGAAAACACATGTATTGATTTAAAAATAATCATGATTAATACATAATTATGCATCATGCTTGATTTAAAACTCGTATGAACCTATTAAGCTGCACTCTATGATGCATTTATGATAAGTCAGGCCAGTAGAAATCCAATAGAAGGAAAAACTGAGACAATTTAAAACTAAGTTTCTAGATGTGTGAGAGTGTGTGTACATAATATACCAATACACTTTTTTCATATAGCACTTTTCAAGACAAAGTGATTTACAAGAAAAAAAATGGCAGGCAATAAGAAACACTTTTCTCATGTTTATGTTTGAGGATTTCATAATTATGTGGCCATGTTTTTGGTGTCAGGTGACTGGTATCCCATCCTGAATAAGACAGTTTGTCGATATGTTGATATTTTATTGGAGTCATTAGTTCGCACCTCTCCCTTTATGGATTTGTAACATCACAGCAAAGATATTCAATTGAAATGACCTGATTGTTTGGGCCTGTAGGTGTGCATGTGGCTCATGGCAGGAAGGCGACACGTAGCGGATGCCCGTCTGCGGCGAGGGGCAGACGGGGAGCGGGGCGGTGGGCGCCGGGGTGGGGGGGATGCAGGACGTCCGGGATCTGGTGGAGCGAGGGAGGGAGGGGGAGGAATGTTGGTTGAGGGAGAGGGAGGAGTGCTTGTGTGGAAGAGAGGAGGTGGAGTATTGGGTGGTGGTCTGGGGCTGGGAGGTGGACTGGTGGGGGAGGGTGGAGGAGGAGTGCTGATGGAAGGAGGAGGAGGAGGAGGAAGACGACGATGAGGAGGGGGGGACGAAGATGCTCCTGTCGTATGAAGCGGCGCTGGGGATACTGGCGACCCGAGGAGGAGACTCCACACGCTTCCTCTGTTCGGGGGACAAATTCACAAATAGCCGATCACAGCATGGTGTTAGAAAAATAAAAACGCAGTATGTTCAATATTTAAGTTTGGTCAGTTACACTTAAATAATATAAAAACAAATCTTAAATAAGAAGCCCATTTACAGGGTTGCACGATATGTACTAAAGAAAAAACTGTAGAACTATGTGCTTTAGATTTTGCAATTTAACACTCGCAAAAAAAGTGTAATTTGTTCTCTTGACTGCTAAAACACATAAAAGACAAAGGGTACTCTTGTGAATTTAATTAAAATATAAGGCTGTTAATATTCTATATGCTTCTTTTGTCAAATAAAAATAGATCAAAACTTACATTTGACATTGTCTTGTTACCATGAATACTTAGTAGCATATAATACATTATATGTATCCACATCTGAAAAAGGTTTTCAACAAACACATTATTTGCATATTCTGTGGGTGGAAATAACTTGTTTTAATCAAACAACAGACTTCTGACCTGTATACGATGTTACAAATATAATTTTTCTTTAGATTCAAGTTCACGATGTAGTGACTGCTGTGTATATGCAATTCATTTAAACTGACTTTTTATTAATAAGATGATAATCTCATTTAAAATGGAGAGAGAGCATTTTAGCCTCAGCTGCTCAGGTGGCAGTGAGGGATGAGTATCAAACATTCAACCACTGTAGTCTGCAAGATGTTTGATCTTTCCTTATTTTATGGAGAACAGTGGCTGTGATCAGCTTGAACTCATGAGTCTTAATATTATTTTAGGGAAGAAGTATCAAATCTTTATAAAAGCTTCAAATAAAAGAAACTCCTGCAGGGTAATTAACCATGTCCTAAACCAAAACCTTAATCCTGCTTCTTTGAAAGGAAGGTGTGTATTTAGCCCCAATATGAGCATATAAATAGTCACCACAGAAGTAGGTCACACTTCAGGAGTGGTTTGTTTTGATCACTTTTTTTTCTAAATCCAAACTGACCAAAGCATCTTTTAGCTATCAAAAAATAAATAAAGTATTTATTACCAACAATCTTTCAAGTGTGCACAGGGTGTGAGTTTAATAATAAATACATTTTTAGTGGCGTGTTATTTAGAAGACATGCCTGAATTACACAATCTGCTTAGATTAACCCCAACAGATGGTCTATGTCTGATAATTTAACCATAACAGACACTAATATGAACGAATGCAAACTGAATACTACATTTATTTGCAGCCTCAGAAGCATCTTTTTCATTGAAGCTCATAAATACAGCCGGAGAAAATACACTTTAAGATTACTATTCAAAATCAGATGGTTCAAGATTACATCATTAATTATTTATTTGAAGCAACCAAGCTTTCATTCTTTAAGAAAATGCTGTATTATTGCTGGCTAAGTTATATGTTTGTTATGATTAGTGATTGAAAGTATGTCTCTGCGACAGACTGCTGATCTGTGGAGTGGGAAGTGTGTCAGAGAGGAACTTGGCTGTGGCCCAGTGAGCACTTCTGGCTGGAAGGAGGCTCTTTTTGATGATTATGTCCACGAGCAGAGCAGACCAACTCACCCTCATGGTTGGCGTGACGCTTCCGGGGCGGGACTTGCTGTCACGAAGCCTGAGGGTGCTGTTGTCCCCGGCAACAGGAGGGTGGAGCTGCAGCTGATGCCGCTCTTCCTGGAGGGAAGGAAGACGAAGAAGGGCTTTCATTGGCCTCATTCACAGTTGGTGCTGTTGTTATTGTGGTATTGGAGCTGTGTCTGGAGGCTTTACTTGCGTGCTGCTCTGCCTCATGCCACGCAGATGGTAGACACAGCACTCTGGCACTTGAAAAGATGTTTCCTACGCATACATGACCGCTGATGATAACTTAAGGTACTGTGGCTATTTGATTTGAGTCAGTGGTTCAAATGCCCCAGTTTTACATAATCTCTTAGTCACCACTTTTTTTTTTAATATTGCAATATGGCATATCTTCCTGGTTTGAAAGGCTGCCTTAGAGTAGACTGTTCTGGATGATGCCACCTAGTCGTTGTGTCCAAATTGCTGACATTTGTTTTTTAATTCATTGTGTAAATATTTTGTCACAACACTAAAATACTACTCTAATAGTTGCAGAGGTGAAAAGTCACTAAGTATATTTACTCAAGTACTGTACTCAAAATGTTATCGTACTTTACTTGAATATTTCTATTTTATTCTTTATAAAAATTTCACTCCTCTCTATCTCTGAAATAAATAAATATGATAAATATTTTACTCAACTACATTCATTTGACAGCATTGAAGTATTAGTAACTAATATTGACCACAATGCAAACTATATAGAGTTTTTACACATTTTTTGTTAAACAAAACTTTGAGTTGATAAAAGCTCGACAAAATAAAGATGATTCCCTCTAAGGAAAAACTCGAAAGATTGTATCTAATGATGTCATATAATATATCAGTCAGACAAAATCAGTACTTTTATGTTAATGCTTAAAATGCATTTCCTACAAATACTTATGCAATTTACCTTATGTAGGGTAGGGTCCTTTTTGCAGAACTTTTACTTGTTAATTTGTATTGTGTGTGTTCTCTCACCACTAGTCGTTTGATGAGCTGGTCTCTCTCGGTCAGTCTCTCCTGGAGCCTCCCGAGCTGCACGTCGTCGGTCCGAGGCTCCCTCCTCCTGCACCGTTCCTCCCGCTCGCGCAGTCTGCAGTTAAATCATATACACAAACACACACACTTTTCTCACATACCCGTCCTTCTTTTTAAACTTTGAGCACTCTATTGTATCTCCACATGTCCCTCCTCAACTCACTCGTTCTCCAAGGCCACTATGCGCGCCTGCAGGTGCGTCTGGGCGCTGCTGTATTCTGACGCCAGACTCTGCAGCTCCTTCTTGTGCTTCTTCCTGATCTCCTCCACCTCCTCTCTCCTCTTGTCCTCCTCCCGTTCCTTCTTCTTCTCCTCATCTGGCTCCTCTTCTTTTACATCCTCCTCTTTCTTCTCCTCCCAGTGTTTCTGAGATTCCTCCAATTTCTCCATCTCAACCCTCAGTTTCTCCACTTCCTCCTTCAAACGTTGTGCTTCTTCTTCCAGCTGGGCGTCTCTGTTTATCCGCAAATCTACGCATTCCTCTTCTTTTTTCTTTTCAGCTTCAGGATTCTGCTGAACTGATCTGATACGAGAAAGGGGATACAAGACAACAGATGAAAAGAACAGAAATGGCTGAATTAATGCAATAAAACAATTGTGATCAAAAGCGATACTGAAATGAGCTGGAGCATCATCTATGATGTTCCAGCTCATTTGACCCAAATGTACTGTTTCCTATATCGTTTATGCGTACTTTCTACTTCTTTATGAATAGATCACTAAAAAAAGTAAAGTAAATGTACAGAAAATAAAGCCTTTGTACAATTCATTGTCATACACTGGATTGCATACCTGAAAACTAATTTTAATGGTGTAAAAAACACATTTCTTCAGTGAAAAATGACCCTAAATGTTTAGTAAATAAATGAGCATCTAGTAAGCAGAGATAATATAAGAAGCCTGCCGGAAATTCAACAAATCGTAGCCAATTTTTTTAATCTTTAGAAGTATTAATACTTGTATTTTGATACTAGATAATAGAGCCAGGCTAACTGTTTCGTCTGGTTTTCCATCTCATTAGTCGTAGTGGTCTTCCCTTCTAACTATCAGCAAAAAGGATATAAGCGTATTTCCAAATATGTCATGCTTTCCCTATAAGTTGTTGCTTGCAATTCAGTATGAAACATTGATTAGGTCAATTAAATACTTTTAATTTAAACAAATGTTTTGAATTGATTTACTATTTGTATTTTTCTTGTCATCCTTTGGAAAAAGCTTGGTTCCGGCAGCCATTTCTGTCTTAAATAACAGTGTAACTGCCATGTGTGACGCCATCTGTTGTTGTCTGTGTCATTGTTTGTTGTTTATATATTTTATGTATACTGTGTACAGTTTGGACGGTTGATTGTATAAAACAATCTATTGTACGCCCCCTTTGGTTTTATGGAAAATATGATTTTTCACTGCTCTCTTGACATTAAGAAAGAATATCATAAGTTGAACCGATAATTAAAAGTGATTATTTTCATGAATGATGTCGAAACAACATCACCACTTCCTTTACCTCTCCTTTAATTGCTTCTTCAGAGCTGTGTTTTCTCTCTGCAGCTCCAGCATGGCACAGCGGCTCTCATCCAGCTGTCTCTCAAACACCTGATTCTGGTTCTGCTGCTTCAGATCCTACACACACACACACACACACACACACACACACACACACACACACACACACACACACACACACACACACACAAGCAGTCAACCTGTTCTTGTAACTTGTCCACACTCCGCCTCTCCACGGTTAACACGTCGTCTTCCGACCTCCTCCCTTCTCTCTAACCACCCTCTCCGACTCCTCCTGTCCTTCGCAAACCTTCCTCGTCCACGCCTTCCGCTTATCTCCTCCACTACTCCTACCGTGCGCCGGGGCTTGAGGTGTCGCAGGTCTTCGAGACTCAGTCTCCCTTCTGCGTTGGTTTCTTCCAGTCGCAGGATGTGAGTATTACCCCCCTCCAAGTGAATTAACAAAAACAGACTCGTAAATTTCTCGTCCTTTCTCCTTAGGTCACATTATTCATCTTACAAGGATAACCATCACTAAAGTTTTTACAGTATTTGTTCGGACGACACATTGACACCGACGGTCAGGATATAGCCGAAATTTAAATAAAGTCAAAGTCATACTAACCCCAAATTTATGTAATGATATGTTCACTTAGCGTACATTCTTTATACAAAAAAGAAGTAGCAGCTGTGTCACGTTTATAATATTTTGTTAGCATCTTGACAAATTACGCAAAGGTGTCTTTATTAATCCAATGTAGCGGAACCTACTGGGGGTACAATGACGTACAGTATCCGCATTTGCTATTGCTCCAGTTGTTGTTTCACTTAGTAGACATAAAATCTCCCGAATTCTTTTTGTAGGATTTAATTATCGTTCGTTTTTCGTTTCTAGGACTTTTTTAGTTTGTTACACCACATCGAAAAATTCCAAAATAAAGTTACATTATATAACATCTATAGTTGTTGAGGAAAGTGGTGACCAAACTTTCTCGTGGGAAATTACTATAAAAATTCACAAATTTACTCTTTATATTACTCTAAAAAATAGCGTATTAACGAACGAGACACTCGATGAACAACAATTTAACACTTTGAAAGTAGTACTGTTAAAATTATTAATCCAGGAATCATTATCTTCCACTAATCATATCAACCCAATTTCACGATATTTCCCTCTATTCAACACTTACATTATTCCACTTACCTGTGTAAAAGAAACCTTCCACACAAATGCAAACCTACTTGCTTCCTCACTTGCGACTCACCTCGATGCGTTGCTTCGACTCTCCTGTCTCTCTCTCGACTCCTGTTTTGACTTTCTACGAGGTTACTCCAGTCTCCAATTTAATATGTTTTTACTCGTAAAGAATGTCACTTTATTACACACTATTATAGCATTTTAGTTTCGGAGGAGACGTAGAGTCTGGACATCCGGTACGTCAGTCGCAAGCTTGTAGGTTCTGTTCTTTCTTTTCCCCGGGACTTCGAACGTCGGCAGCACA